TTTTGTCAATGCCGATGGTCTTCAAGTGGTGCTCCAGATGTTTTGGGATTGTACCCAAGGCGCCTATAACTATTGGTACTATATTTGCTTTCTTTTGCCACAGTCGTTCTACTTCAGTTTGCAGATCTTTATATTTTGTGATTTTCTCCAGTTCTTTCTCTTCTATTATGCTGTCTCCAGGTATTGCAATATCCACTATCTTTATATTTTGTGATTTTCTCCAGTTCTTTCTCTTCTATTATGCTGTCTCCAGGTATTGCAATATCCACTATCTTTATATTTTGTGATTTTCTCCAGTTCTTTCTCTTCTATTATGCTGTCTCCAGGTATTGCAATATCCACTATCCAGACTTTTTTGTCTTTCTTATCAACAGTTGTTAAGTCTGGGGTGTTGTGTGACAAGTGCTTGTCTGTCTGAATTCTAAAGTCCCAGAGCACTTTAGCTTCTTAGTTTTCTATTACTTTGTCTGTTTTGTGGTCCCAGGCAAATGGTATTTATTATTATTTTCTTTAAAGTAACTTTCTGCAAAAATAGGAAACCAATGCATATTTGCTGATCACATTCTACCACAAGATGTAGTGGGAAGATCACGTTGACTTCTTACCTAGCTAAGAACAATATCTGAAAAAAACTAAAGATTTATGTGCATTCCAATTCATCATGGCAATGCAAAGTCACACATTTCTCTTTCACTGAAAATGACTGTTTCCCAAGAATCATATCAGTATGATCTAACTAATGACTGAAATTGGAAAACACTCATTATGAGTTTCATCGCTAGCACCCTCCTACATGTGTTTCTCACAGAAAGAGGAAATATGTGGCTCCAAACGACAATACAGATAGCAAGGTGATATTTAAGCTTCTGTTTAACAAAAAATTATATAGAAAATATTGTACTGCAAGGTGGGAGTAGCAGTAGATTTTGTGTTGAGTAATCAAGTGCTTGTACGTCTAAATGCTATGAGCCAAAGTTTTTGCTAGTATAGATTAATGTGCTTTGACCTCAGTTGAGGAGTATTGATTTGCACAATGGAAAATTCAAGATGCAAAGTGAGAAAAAAACGGTTTCTTCTTCCATTTATAAGCAGAATTAGTATGAGCAAGCAATGGAAGTCAGTGTAAATAGTATACATCCAAAAATGAATAATACATCCCTAACTATGTGAAGTAGGATGAATTAACTGAGTCCAACACCTGCCTAGGTGCTATTAAAAGGTTAGGTTTTAGCAAGGGTTTGAGGACTGCAAAAATTCTATTTGTCTAATTATGAAATTTGTTAAGAAGCAAAATAAAATAAAAATTAGATTTATCTTATTTGGAAGGTGTGTAATTGTCCCAGTTTGCTACCTGAGTTCCTCAGTGAAAGAAAGTAAAAGGAAATGGATAGGGAGAAGGGGAAGTAGAAAAACAAGACAAAAACCACAGACTGATTTGTATAAACTCAAAACCAGATATCAAATACAACACCAGCTGCCATATTTTTACCTACTTTGTAGGGCTGCAGGTATGTAAGGCCTTCAAATGAGGCTTCCAGGTAGCAATGGAAACCGATTTCTCATCAGCTGCATAGCTACGCCATACACACTACGTGCAGGATATATGACAAAGAAAAAAGGCAAACAAAAATGGAAAAGCATATTAGTAAACCAATACAGGTATTTTTTTTTGTAGCATTCATAGCACTGATACATGCCTGAGGGATGGAAGACTATATTCATAATATCGCCAGGTAGCTCTCAGGTTTGTTCGTCTTGAATCGGTAGAATAAAACCGCCAAATAGCCTGATTTGAGGAAACAGTAGAAAGTACAACAAAGCTAACAATATATGAAATGAAGTTCTATTAATAGGATGGGAAATTTGGATTTTGTTCAAACTGGATGCAACTGGCTTAATTAGTTTGGAAGGGCTGTGCTTGCACAATGTATTGAAGATTGGGGTTTTAAATGTTTAAATATAAAAGAAAATGGGGATATCTCAGTTATATAAGCTGGCAACTTATGCAGCAACATCTTTAAGAAAGCCTTTTGCTACAAATTTTTTCATGAGTGCAACTGACTGTTTTACTATCTCTTCACATTGGCAATAGTGCATTCTAATAATGAGTTGTATTCTCATCTGCATGAATGAGTAACAGTGAAGATAAAGAATTTAGGGAGTTAATTAGCACACATAGTACCCAAACTACTTAAGGGGGATGTTCAAATGTTTTGATATACTTTTACGTCTACTTGTGGAATGCCCATGATATTTTGTTGCTGATTTTCTAATTTGGTTACTTATTTTACAATACAGTATATAGATACTGCCCAGTTCATATGGACTGTAAGTAGTTTGCAATTACAAGATTAAAAATGTAGAGATCAATCACTTCAAGCCAGAACTCATCGTACTATGGTAACCCTTCCATAGTAAGTCAACAAAAACCATGCCATCCACAAAATACTCAATTAAAAAGGATCTTCACTGCTTTCACAAATACCAGCAAACGGGGCATGGTATAGTTCCTGCTTCATAACAGAACAGAAGTCCACAAAATGATCTGATAGTATAAATTTCCTGTTAACACTTCCAAAATAAAGATTTATTATTCCCAACTTTTCAAACCCTTTCTATTGTATTATAAAATATTAGATCAAATGCAAAAATATAATCTGGTTTCACCATGGATGTCTCTCTTATAACACAGTTATAAGAGAAAAATAAGTATCAACCAACAGTCTCTGTTCTCTAAATGGCTCTTCTATACATTTGGAAACTCCACTGTCCTATGTTCATTTATCTGGGAATAAACCTTACTGAACTCCACTGAACGTATGTGTGAGTGGACGCATGCAAGTGGAAGGTTTTTCTTTTTTACAGTGGGCTTTGGGATATAGAGCCTTACTGAACAGCCTTCCCAAACTTGAATCCATGCAGATGGTTTGTATTCAGTTCTCTTCATCTCTGACCATTTGCCAGGCTGGCTTGAGGATGAAAGGAATTCTAATCCAAATAACTCAAGGGACCCAAGATAGGGAAGGCTGCTGTAAAGAAGGGAGAATGTGTGTCACAACCTCCTCCTTCAGTTCATCTGGCATTAATCTTAAGATGTATTTACACTTGTGGTTAAGTCTGGGATCAAATGAATCGGGGGCTTTCACTCACTGCTTGGTCTGACCTTCTCACATTCAAGAAATATATAGCATCCAGGCATATTTAGTCACTAGGCTAAGAGTAGCCACTTTATATCTACTATACATACTAGATGGTACAGATAGACAGAGAGTCCATATCCGCTTTTCCCCTTGAATGTGAAATACAGATCTGAGAATACCAAAGTGTATTTCAACATAATGGCTAATGCTAGGGTAATACTACGTATTTTTTCTTGCTGTTATTCTTTATAATGTAAAGCATACAGCAGAGTATAGAGTCTTAGGCTAGCCAAGAACCATATACTGGAGCGGGTAGCCTAGACCTGGTTCATATCATAATAACTATCCGAACAGGCAGCTTTCCTTCTCAGCTAGCATTCTGTTGGTGAGTGGGAAGGCACTGACTGCACAGCCATTACCTCTAAGAGAAGCATAAACAACATTCAGTCCAGGAAATGACTTGAACAATCTCCCCGCAGAGACATTTGGCATTTCTTTTTCATAGGCATAATCCAGCATAATTTGGAAGCCAAAATCCCTTAGAAGAGATTTAGTCCAGCTTTCCAAATGATAATGAGGATTACTCATACAGGAAGAACAATGACAACAACCAAAGAATGTGAGAATAATTCTGTGACCCTGTATTTCACACATTACACAAACTAACTCCCTTCAGGCAGTGTAATCATTTTAAATATAGGATGCTGGATATGAAGAAAGTGAAGGAATTCAATTCAAAGCAAAAAGAGAGAACCATTCTACTAATAATAAGACAATTAAAACATCAGCTATGCAGACGTTTCAATGTATTTTGATTCCTTTTACATATCAATACCACCATAATGTATTCATTTAGGGGAAAAAGTCCATATTCAATCATACAAGCTAGTCCATTATATTCTTGGGACACAGGTCTCTTCATTCAAACTGAATTTAGTTTTCCCTGCCATCCTGTCAGAGTTACACTACTTATGCATTAATTGAATATATGCAAGTGTATAGGGTATCATAAATTAATCTATCATTATTTATCAAATATTATTCTACATTTATTTTAATTCTAGTTATTGAATCCCTGTTCTTTTGAAAAGGTTATTTGCTGGAAATACAAAGTGAAATCCAAACTCTAAACACACAATGAATGCAAATAGCAAAGGGACCTATTGTGCTGATTTTAAAGGGAAGTATTAGATTTTGATTAAGGGCCATTTGGCTTAGTATATTGTGTGAACCCAGCTGATGTAGGTTGTAAGCCATGATTTATGGCTTAGCATGTTGTATAAATGTAGGTACTTGTGGTTTGTAAATCACAATTTATGGCTTACCCAGTTGTGAGTTGTTCAATAAATCATTCTAAGTAGATATCCAGTTTAAGATGTTTGTGGATTGCAGTATAAAATATATTAAATCAATCAATTATGGTTTAGCAAATGGGTTTGGTATGATACATGAACTTAGTTTATATGTGAATAGCCCAGCTGCTTGATTACAATTTATGCACATGATTCCCTTTCCAACTGGGATTATGGATGTAGAAGGCTGGTTTCTTACTTCCTCAACTGACTTGGAATGAAGAAGAATGAACAGGAATGATCATTCCTAAATGTATGTATTTCTGTGAAACCTGGCACAATTGGGCTTGTAATATTCATTATCAAGAACTTTTGAAAATCTGCTTCATTTGGTACTTACTTGAATTAAACTGGCAGCAGGATTTCTTCTTTTTTCAAAATGTTTCTGACGATGCTGTTCCTGTACTTTTAATGCAAATCCTGATCCTAGAATGCCCTTGAGTACAATACAACAAAGGTTCATAATCAGAAAAATAATTCTGGTAAGAGTTAAAAATATGCAATCTCAAAAATCTAAGACAAGCATTATACAAATGGCTCGTATGTCACAGCATGGTTTGGTTCAATATTTGCAATGACATTATTGAACCCAATGTGGAGAACATCAGGTACATTTAATGTCCATATGGGACAGGATTCTGCCAAATTCCTACAAACCAGGAAACAGGAACAATTTAAAGAACTGTAGGAGTGGGGAACATGGAAAGTTCTGAATCCTTCTCTTGCCCTTAACCTTATTGTTGTTGTTATTACTGTTACTGGAACCACATTTTTCCAGCCAATTTTCTCTCAGTATGAGTTACCTTCCAATACTGTTGTTTTCCAGGTGTTTTACCAGGGAAAAAATTGAGAAAAACAGCTTTAGGGGGAAAGAATAGGCAAAAGCCCAGCACCCTCTTTCTATCAATTCTTCTTTGATTAGGGAATTTCATTATGACCCAACTGCCCCTGCCTTGTCTTCCATACCATTCTGGAAAAATCCCCAATCGTCTCCCCAAAATGGTGGGGGAATGTTGTAAATAGTTTGGGAACAATGCTAAAACACCTCTCTTCATGTCCCACTGATGGAAGCATCTGTTGAATCAAAGTGAGGGACAACAACAATGGGACATAATGCACTCCTTGGAATCACATCCCATGGGGCTTACCTCAGTCTAACAAAACAGAATTCCTATGTTCTCATACATGCTATGCCCAAAGAAATAAACCATACTAGGCTTAACATGATGGTCTGGTTCATACAACATGTTAAGAAAATAGCTAGGTTCCCACAACATACTGAAGACTACACTGTCCACTCCATTTTAATCTGTTTTAATGTTTCATATGAACTTAGTATGCTTAAGTTGTATTATCAACGATTTGATTCTGACACAAAAATTGTCAATCATTGTCTACTTTTCCAGTGACTCTTTAAGCATGCTACTATAAAGAACATTGCCAGTTCAAGTTTTCAGACTTCAGCAACCACTTTTCTAATTTAAAGGGAGTGACAGAGCATGATTTGGCAAATAGGTTGAGTGTTTTTCCTGCCTAACCCCTACATTCTCCATACTTGTTTCTATTTTTTTTTCCTACTAACATCTCTGCCCCCCAAGTTTGCAATGTCAAAGGTGAGTTGAAGAAGGGAGAAATATTAAGAACTGTTATCTTAACACTGTTCTGCCCTGCAAAACAAACATGTAATGCCTTCTTGCATTGGAAAGCAATTATTAGAGTTTAGAAACACACATTGGTTAGGTAACAGAGTTTCTTCCATGTAAGTCCATGGAGCAATCTAGACTGGGTTAGGCATGGGGAAAAGGATTAGACTCCTATTGCAGTCCACATCTTACATAAAATGAAATCACATTGGGAACTTCAATGTAACAACCAGTTGGCCTAAATTTCAGTAAGAAGTCAGGAAAACTACTTGCTTTTGCAAAACCATTAACACCCTGAAATAGATTTCAGAATTATCTTTTCTCAAGTAGACTGAAGTGATAGATAGTTTGATGACTATTAATCTGTGCCAAAAATATAACACTTAATGGCTTGGATCAAGATTTGTCCCTCCATGTACTGATGGGCTCCTTCCTTTGAAGAGGAAAGCTAGGTCAGCAATTCTTGCCAATTCCTCTTGCAGCCCCTAGTGCTACT